ATTCATGGGTTTTCGCATTTACAGAGAAAACAATCCGTGTTGCTCTCAGAACTTATAAAGTCAGCCAAATTCATAAATATTAAGAAACGCACATAAGATGATTAATATTAATAAGCAAGGCATTAAGTAATTAGTCGTGTGACAATCGCCCACTTGCTAAGAGCTGCCTCTCGGCCAATCAGAGAGCCCGTCTCTGTAGAACGCTTAATATTCATGAGATGAGGCGCCTTCGCTTCCGGGTCTGGCCATGCGTCTACACAGTACTGTACTTTTCCCTCGCCCAGATTTAGTTTGCATTAAACCAATTACCAAGATCCCGTGTTCACTCCGATCTGGTGAACTCGACACGACACAGCAGGTTTCTCAGCACTGATGCTCCGCTAAACGGCTTCGGGTCGCACACTAGTTCCTCAGCGCGGGCTACTTCTGCAATCATTAACCATGTTTGCTTCGGGGAAAGCGAAGAAAAGCGCAGAGTTTTCAGTACACAGGCAGCATAAGTGGCTTAATGAAGTGCCGCATGAGCGCTTATAAACTGTGTGCTGCAAACTGACTCAACACTAACTAACCTAAGCTCTAGAAGAACTTTACCGTTAAAGTCGCCCGTGTCTGCAACGACCACCGTGTACTTCTTGATCTCCTCCAGCGCAGACTCCATCTTTCGCCGTTTGTCCGGTGACACAGACATGATCCCGAGACCCGAGCTTTTATAGCCGCAGAGAGAGACTCAGACCTTCAGCAGAGAGAGAGAGAGAGAGACTCAGAGCGTCAGCAGAGAGAGAGAGAGAGACTGAGACCTTCAGCGGAGAGAGAGAGAGAGAGAGAGAGAGAGAGAGAGAGAGAGAGAGAGAGAGAGAGAGAGAGAGAGAGAGAGAGAGAGAGAGAGAGAGAGAGAGAGAGAGAGAGAGAGAGAGAGAGAGAGAGAGAGAGAGAGAGAGAGAGAGAGAGAGAGAGAGAGAGAGAGAGAGAGAGAGAGAGAGAGAGAGAGAGAGAGAGAGAGAGAGAGAGAGAGAGAGAGAGAGAGAGAGAGAGAGAGAGAGAGAGAGAGAGAGAGAGAGAGAGAGAGAGAGAGAGAGAGACGTGCCTGCGTGGGGGCGGGGCCACGGCTCATGACGCCATCGCGTTCTTCTTCTTCTGTGGATTTATTCGCATACCGCCACCTCCTGTGCTGGAGTATGAATTGACTTCAGTCTAGGTATATATTTTGATATCTATATTCTATTCTTAAGTCTAGTATTATTAATTAATGTTAAAATTGTCTTTATTATTTGACCAGATCCTTGTTTTGTGTTTAATATGTTGCAGATTGAAAATTCATTGCATCCTAAGTTCTCTTTATAGTAGATTATCTGTTCATATCTAGACAGAGTAACAACACATGATCGGCTGTTCCCTTCACTTGGCATGTTTCACGACATCCACTACTGTGTTTTCCTGTTATATGAAGCGTAGAATTAAGTTTTGTGTGACCCATCCTTAGTCTTGTTAAAATGACCTGATGTTCTCTACTTAAGGTTAATATCATTTTGCTTCGACTTGTGTTGTGTATTATAAAAATGTCCTTCTGTTTTACAGTCATTCCAGTTCCCTTGCCTTTTCCAATCGCAAGCTTCTTTAGAAAGAAAACAATGAATAGCCATAATATGGACTTTTGTAAATGCTGCGATACTGTGATGCTCAGAGACAGTTATTTCCTTCTCACATTGCTGATTTCACCACTAACTCTTCACCTGAACAGTTTATGTTTGTGTATATGGTATCATTGTAATCCTTGACCATCAAAACATAGGGGTAAACATAAGCTTTGCTGTGTTATCATGTTTGGTTCAGGAGATATGACACAAAATACATAATTTGGTTATGGGTGAAAGTAAAATGGTTGCCATGGCAACGATGGCTCCTTTTCTGCAAATGTTCAGGGCCCTAACCTGTACAATTGTACCAAGTTTCATGCTTTTATGAAAAAGTGAACATATCACCTCAAATGTGGCAGATCTCACCTGGACTCTACATCAAGTGCTAGACATCAGTATCAAGTGAGAATGAGTTGAACATCGTTACAGAAGAAGGCCATTGCATTTTATAAACCTCAATAAACTGGTCTTGTTTGATCGTAAGCATTGAAGAATGTGATACAGTAATGCAAGCAGATGATTTTTACAGCACTGTGTATTATTAGAATATTCAGTATAATAATGATGATCATAATAAATAGAGTAATTAATATGTATTAATCAGATTTCAATATAACATTATATTTAAATGGGGAGGGTTCCAAAAACAAACAGTATAGGGCAAAAAAGGCCTACTATTATATATATTTAATATTATATATATATATATATATATATATATATGATTGGATGTGTGAGCGTGTGGCAGTTTTTCTGCTAATTAAGGGAGAATATAGGACTTCTTCACCTTGCTAGTGGTTGTTGAAAGGAAAACTGCTATGAAATGCATCATATTTTGTGAGAAACAGTGATATGCAGCAGCAAAACAGGCACTAATTTTAGAATTAGCACTCCAAAATGAGTCAGATACAAGTATTGGATTTCATTCAGCAAACATGATGCAGGGCGGTGTAATCAATACGGATCTTACAAGGTCATGTAATGTGACTTATTTATATATTTTTTAATCACTATAACATTGATTTTATATTTCTAATGCCATGTCTCATTTTGTTCATAATTTTGATATATTGTAAATATATTAACATATAGTCTGAATAATTTTTGGACTTTATGATTTATCCTTGTAGACGGAAAAGCTGAATGCGAGCCCTGGCACCTTGCTTTATTAACGGCGAGGAGAAATTAAGGAGCTTTGGGTCATATTCTGTTTCGGGTCATTCATTACCACCAAAACTATACACACTGTTTGTTTGCATTTGTTTGTAAATGTGTTTTTAAACCTAATCAGATTCACCACTGAATTGCTTAGACGGGGTTAGAGTGAGACTGTAGAGGTTTGGATCAGAAGATCTGAGCTGACAGAGACAGCGGCGCTCCTGATAATGACGGCTGGATTACTGAGGTTTAGAGAGACTCTCAGCTAATGAGGTTGGCTGCATTAATGTGAGTTGGGAATAAAAGCGTTTAACAGGAGCAGATGAGACATTCACAACCCTTTGCACTGCAAGACCTAATGCACAGGTCTCAATATTTTGACAGATAATGTTTATATGAACGCACACTATAACACTGTAGGCTGACAACAGCACGACTGTATGTGTTTGCTTTGTACTAGTAGTTTTGTAGTAATTTGTTTAAAGGTCACATATTTTACACCAGTTTTATTTTAAGTCTTGATGTCCTTAAGAATATATATTTGCGGTATAAGTACCAAAAACCATCTCAATATATTTTACAGCTCCTCTCTCAGGAGCTCTGCTGAGAACAGGTAGATTCTGGCCTGTCTAATTAATATTCATGAGCCTCTCTTCTGATTGGCCTGTTGTGTTCTGAGTGACGCATGTTCAGGCCAACCACAGGTAGCTAGGGTCAGCGACGTCACAGCGCTAGTTGGAGGCGGCCCATTCAAACCAGCGCAGATTCGGCTACATGAGGAGCTTAAAATATCATCTTGTTGTGATGTTGGGTGCCAGAATCGACGTAATACAGCCTCAAATTAGAAATCTGATCGCATATCTGCTGCCACTGCCAGACAAAAAACCGATGACAGCTGTGGTTAAACACGATAACACAAGCAGACTGGACAGAAACGATCGACAAAAATACTCGCATTTGCAGCGCACACTTCTTATCAGAAAAGGTTCAATAAAGTATTGTCTTTTGTTGTTATGGGCGCGTCTACAGATTTCTTGCCATATGTCTGTTTCTTGCATCTCACGACTATGTCCTGTATGAAATAATGTCTGTGTGCATGTGTATAAAACAACAAACTGACGATTTATATATAATCATTTGTAATTGTATATACATTGTTGTGATTAATTGTGGCTGGAACAATAATGTAAGATAGACACGGTGAGTTTGTCTTTACTTTACACGCTAGATGTGATCACCTCATAATAACAATCCTGTCAGATCGTCCATCCTCTGAGAGAGAGTGTAACGTTACAGGGCGGCCGATCTGGTTTCGTGGTTAAAGTTAACCTTTTCCACATGTTTCCGTGTTGTTGTTGCTCAGCAATGGCATGGACGTGATGTTGTCTGGGGGTGTGGCAAAAGGAGAGTGGGACGGTGGGCGGTGCTCGGGGGGGTGACTGAAGGCGGTGACTGTGTAGTTCTGACCTGAACTTTTTACGGAAGTCAAAACGGTTCGTGAAAAATCACAGCTACTTTATTCAGGCTGTGTGCATTTTACTGTGGACTGACTGTTTTGAAACTTATATGGTAGTTACATAGCCCCTAGACCTCAGTAATCGTGAAAAAAGCCAGGAAATTTCAGTTTTGACAATATGGGACCTTTAACAGAAACACCTGCGGATATGACAAGAAAAAACGCTAAAGATATAAAAATATGCTTTCAGAAGAAGAAATATGCTGAAGGAACTGATTCAAATAATTAACTCTGTAAAACTGTTTTGTCAGCGGTAAAAATTAGCTCACTCAGATGCATCCTGCATTCAAAAGAATCTTAATTATGAAATGTTATTTGTGCATAACAGTATCAAATCAAAGACACACTGCCATTTACTCTTATCGTGATGAATGTCAGTGAGCATGTATCGTGCTGATACATGCCAGCAGCTCATGAATACAACAGAAAAACAGCAAGAGGAGGAGGAGAGATGAAGAAACAGAAAAGATAGAGTGTGTTGCAGAGGAGATATTCTGCATCACACTGCTGTAATCACTAGTAAGGAATGGTGTGGACTGATAAGAAGAGATGTGAGATACAGAGAAGCTGTGTTGAAGGAAGATGGTGAGCAGCGGAAGACGATTGGTTGAGCTGTGAGGAGGCGTGCCAGTCTGAATGATTTGTATGACAGTTACCAGAGAGAGAGAGAGAGAGAGAGAGAGAGAGAAAGG